AAGCCATGGAGAAGCATATCTTCTGGGAACAAGATTGACACTAAGTTAATTTAGAAAAAAATTACCCCCCCCACACACATCAATCATGGAGATTTTGAGAACTTATTTTCAAAAATAAAACACAGATCTAGAAACACCTCTGACATCTGCAAACGGCCAAATGGAGCCTAGCCAAGTTCAGTGTTCACGTCTCTGTTCCTTCAGCCTTCCGGGCACTTACATGCTAGTTGGAGAAGCACTTCAGCACAAAGCAAGGACCAAGCTCCCACAGTGCCAACACAGCTGGGGCTGAGCACAGGCTCTGATTCCTCTGCACAGCTGGAAAGGAGAGGTTGCTGCTGATCCATCACTGCAGCTGCCTCCAACTCTACCATCTTTTTCTCCCTCCCAGTCATTCCATACAGGCTTGGTATTCCTCTTCCTTTCAGCAAACAGGGCCATGAACTCATCTTTCACTGATGGAGGCCAGCATTCTTCGAACAGGGGTACATACTTGATGCAAAACCAATACTTACCATCATAGCTGTAGGGGAGTCAATTTCCAGAGCCCCAACTTCCCAATATTCTCTTGTCTAAAAACTGATTTGCCTGGGATCACAGCTATGATGGACGGACACCACTCCAGGATGAATGGAAGCTGTCCTCCACCACCTCCCCGTCACGAAGACCCTTCACCCACTTTACAGAAACAATGCATCTTTAGATCTTTCTAAACTGCATGACCCCAGGGTGTAAAGACCTCAGGGTGACCAACAAAGAAACAAATAAAAACGCTAATGCATGTAAAGGAGTGAGGCTTTAGCATCTGGGTTGCAAGGCCTTTTCTAAATCAGATAATTTCCAATTCTTCATTTCAAACAAACTGGAACATTCAAATATGAAGAGCCCTAAGGTCAAAAGAAATACAAAATATTGGGTTTCAATTTATATATATTTTTGTTACAGAAAGAAAGTATGACAGAGTGATCAATAAGACACTTTCAAGCATAAAAATATATTAGATTGGGATAGAATTCTTTAGGGGAAGGAAAACAAAAATATGAATTTAAGGAGAAAAAAGGTGTAAAGATTTTAACTGTTTAAGAAGAACTTATTCATGCATTTTTTAAAAATGAATACTAGGAATCAATTATAGACCTACTAAAGTATTTTTAATAATGTAAGAATTTAAAAGGTCAAGATTTATAATATGCTGAAAAATGACATCCTTTGCAACTGTTTAAACCTAAGAGGAAAAGTTTTAGCAATCAGCTTAAAAATGTGCCTAGGGTACAGACCTCTACAGGATTTTTTAGGAGCTACAGAACAAAAAAGGTGGAAGAACACTGCTATAGACCAACCACTGGAGCCTTTCTAAGGCAAAATAACTGAAGAGACAAAGAATGAACAATTTCCCACCTACTTAGTTGTGAGCTAGGATGGGCTGGAGATGGGGTGGGGATTAGCATTTGCTCCACCCTCTTCTTGGTCATAAACACATCTGTTGAACCTGGTTCTACAGCCAACAGTTTCTAAGGCTGATGACCATGTTAAGTATCTAATCTCAACTGCATTGCTGATGGGGTTAGCCCTTGGCTGATGAGCTTTTATCTTACTCCCTAAGGAGAATTGCTACTTCTTGAGTACTTTTCTTTGTGTTTTCCAGAAAAATTCATGAGGCAATACCATGAAGGCTCACTATTTTGTATTTCTCTTATCATACGATGACAAATTTCACCACTGGGGATGCAATATTGAATGTGTCTATCTGACTGGCATTTCAGACATAACATCCATGAAGCAAAGAATTGGAGAGTTCCTTACTGTGTTAATATTTTAAGTATGGCAGATGTACTGAGGAATAATCTCAACAGGCCCATCTATGTACATAAGCCCTCAGATATCATGTTTTTCCTTCTTTTTCTGATTTCGTACTCTCTTCTTCCCCACTGCCCCTTACGTCTTGTCAGCCGCTCCTCTGGGAAGCAGAAAGCAGTCTAAATATGATGGATGAGGCCAGCACTTAATTCGGTGTCTACACTGTTTGAAAAATATTGACTTTCCGGTCCTCAAGCTCTCAGAGAGACAGTGGGGCTATTTAGAGTAGACATTAGACCTACTTTAAACCTACTCCCATTTAGTACGAGGAGGTGAAGTTTGAGATAAAAGGTCTTTCTTTAGAGTCAGAAAGTTGGCTGAAAATCCCACTCCACACATTTACCAAGTATGTCACTCAACTTCTCTGAATCTCAGGTTCCCAAAGTCCTTAAAATGGGGTGCTGAGAATTTGAGACCATATGCATCAAGCACCTAGAAACATACAGCATGTAGTAGGCATTCAATAGTCTACAGTTATGAAGTTAGATGTTTAATGTTCTTTAATGACTGTTTAAAATTAGCCTATAGTTCTCTCTTGGCATCATGTCAGCTAGTGGCATGTTTTTCCGTTTCTTTCTAGTCTCTTAAAGTAAGTGATTTGGAAAATGACTACCTTTCATGTCAAGTATGGAGTCGGTGTGTGTGTGTGTAAAATGTACCTGCAGTACTAAAACTGGCAAAAGGACACAGAATGAGGACTGCACAAAACTTGAGTTTTCACCTACAGCTTTTATAAATATGGCGACATGTCCTGAATACGTTCTAAGCATTGCTGTGAAACGTGATTAAAAATAAGCATGGCATCAATGATCGACTCTTGGGATACTCTAAAGGTTATCCAAATTTAATTGGAAAGCTAACACTTTCCCCTCATCAGATTAGCCAAGTTTTTTGTTTGTTTGTTTTTTGAGGTTATTTAATATTGTAAGGCTGTGGGGAGAGTGGCACTCCCACAATTCTCATGGTAGTCGAAATGAGTAACACCTTTAGACTCTGAAGCAATTTGACATGTATATGAAGGACTCAAAAAGGATTCACATGTTTATTCAGAAAGGCAGGACTATATACCAGCCCAAACAAACAGATTTATGGGTAAGGGTCTTCATTGCATCACAACTTGTAATAGTAAAAAAACGGAGCAGCTGATGTCCACCATAGGGAACTAGATTATACAGTATAGCCATCCCCTGGAATAATATGCAGCTATTAAAGACAAGAAAAAATTTACATAAGATGGGATTGTTAAGTGAAAGAAACAAGGTATAAAGCAGTATTTGGCTATGATTCTAAATTTGTATGTGCCACTGTTGATTCTCAAGGGGTAAGAAGAGAATATTTACAATCAAGAATTGGAATTACACAATGATCAAAATCCATTCCACAGCTTGAAAGGACACAGTGTTAGGGCTTGCAACCCACGTCCTAATTTTAAAAAGAAGTGTGGGATGAGTACACTGCTGATTCAGATCCTTCTTATGAATGACAGGGATAGGAAAGCAGATAATAAAGCTAAAAGTTCTACCTGCAACTGACATTCGGCCTCTTTAAACTTTCAACTTAATGAAGCTTTTGGGTGACTTTTATACCACATGCATCAATGCTCTCTGCCTAGGTAAGAAGTTTTGGCAATCTGCAGTGATGAGAGAAGGTTGGAAAAGGTGAGGATTCAAAACCTTCCAATATACACAATTTTGCACAGCAGAAGAGGAAATGAAACACTGTGAATATGAATACACACACACAGACACACATACAAAGATTCAGGCATAGTTAAAGCAACGAACACTTTCCCATCCCACTGCAAGCAGAAATGCCTCAACACACCACCTGTCCTTCCTGGGTTCATCTGCACTTCATTACTAGCTTGAAAACTCCTAGTTTATTCCCACCACTACCAAGTCCAACCAAACAAGGCTAGAAATCATGGCCCAGATTGCTTTCATGAACTTTCTTGCATTTATTTCTCACATCAGTACTTCAAATGTCTCATCTAACCCCACAGATAAGAAACAGAATAAAAATGCCTTTGGACATTTACACATCTCATGTTACACACCCTTGTACTCCAAAAAAGGAGTAACCCAAATCCATGTGACTTGAAATGACATCTTTCTGCTCAGTGCTCTTCTTTCTGACTTGGCCTGTGTGACCACAGTTCTATCTGCTCACCTGCCAACCTGGGCCCAAGCGCTTTCCAGCAGCCCCACGGCAGAGCCATGTTTCTGAAAACAGTCTAAAATTACATGAAGCCCAAATCAACTGAAGTTAATGTGAAAACACAAGACAAGACACACCTAAATTGCCACCTTACATGTTACAATGCAAACTGAAAGGAGTCTACTTGCTTGACAGTATGCACTTGTTTGCAGATGTCACACTGCAGAGCGAACAGCTGGGGGATGTTTGGTTGATTTCTGGTAGTCAGTTTCAGGAAATACAAGCATTTCTTAGTTTTGAGCTCAGGTTCCTAATCAATATAGGTTTTGGAGACTTAATTTTTTCCAGGCTCGAAATGTGCTAAGCTAATAATTAACCTTAAGCATACCATCACTTCTGCTGAAAACATTTTCTACACTCAGCCCCAAATTACTTTCAGTTCGGTTAAACAAAACAGACAAGCTGTAATAAAAGGTCTCTGAGAAATGTGATCCCTTTCATTGGTCACCCAGGAGCTTTTCTTCTTAAATCTGCTGCTTCTTTGGGGGGGGGGGAGGGGAAGGAGAGCATCCAAAATAAAGATGCCACCCAAAGCACAATGATTTTGTAAGTAAGTTGCCTAAGATAACTCTTCAGGGTTTCCCAGGTCGAGTAATTCTTGCAGGCGGGTGGGGAGGGACAGCTCGCCTCCAAAATTACTATCTGCAGAGGTTTCCCCAATGTTGATTTTTTTTTTTTAAGGCGTCCTTTTTAATTACACTGCAAGGGCTCTGATTTTCACGTCTCTAGCTGCTGCCGGGGGTAGCTGAGAGCAGCGCGGCAGGGCTGCGGCAGCCGCTCCGGCCAACTCCAGCGCCGGGGGCGGGGGGGGGCGGGTAGCCCACTCCCCACCCGGTCCCACCCTCCCCAGTACACGCGCGCACATCAGCGCCGAGACTGCGGTCAGCGCCGGTCTGCCCTGAGCTGGCGGCCGGGCCGGGACTCACCGCTGTCCAGCCGCGCGATCTGGGGCAGCCTGTAAGTGCTGACCAGCAGGTCGAGCGGAACGGCCACCGAGCTCCACTTCACATCCTTGAGGCTGCAGCCCAGCGAGGGCGCCGGGTCCATCTTCCCCGCCTCCTCCTGCCCCGCGCTCCCGCCGCCGCCGCCGGCCACCACCCGCGCCTCTGCGGCCGCGACTGCTCGCGCTCGCGGTCTGGGGCGCGCGGGAGGCGCCGGACACTCCGGCCGCGGGCAGCCCGGGGGCACGGCGGCTGAGGCGGCCGGGAAGGAGGGGGCCAGAGCCCGGCTCAGCTACCAATGCGGGGCATGGCCAGGGCGCCCCGCGTGCCCTCAAGCCCGGAGAGGACTCGCAGCAGCCCAGAGGCTGCGGGCGGCGGCGGCCGGGGTGGCTGCGGCGGCTCCCGCTCCGCCTCCTTCTCTGGCCCCGGGTCTGCAGCTGCGGCGGCCGCCCGCTCGCCTCCTCCTCCTCTTACCCCTCCTTCCCTCCGCCTCAAGCGTGTGAGGAGGAGCCGCGGGTCTGAGAAACGCCATAGCAGCGCTCCCAGCACTGACCAACAAGGTGCAAGCAACGCCTGCGCAGCTCGGGGAGACACCGCCTCCGCCTCCGCCTCCCCGGCGCCGCCCGCTCCGCCTCCCGCTCGGCCTCCGCCTCCCGCGGCCCGGCGAGCTCGGCTGGGCGTCAGCCGCCCGGCCGCGGCCGCCGACGCCTGTGGGTCGGCGCGCTCTGCAAGCTTTAGCTCTCGCTCCCCCGTCCGACCGCTCCGGCGCCCTGCAGCCTCCCGGGCGTCACTGCGCGCCCAGACTCCTTCCCAGCCCAGGGCCCATCCCGGAGCCCAGCAGGAGCGGAGCGAGCTCGGGAATCTTTCTCCTAGTCGTGGCGTCGGGCACTGTCCCTTGCTACTCCCCACCCTGCCTCTGGAGTTGCTGATACGGGCCACAAAAGGGACCTCTTTGGTGTTCACCTCTTGCGAGTGTCACAGACAGACCAGGAGGGAAAAGGCAGGCGTGGAGCACGCCTTGGCGTTTCTCCCCCAACCCCACAACTCTACCAATGGAGCTGGAAGTTAATCCTACCAGTCTAGACTTTGCTAGGCAGCCGGGAAAATGCCGCAGCACCGAGATGGAGAGAGGTGATGATGAGTGATCAGTCCCCACAGAAGGGAAGGTGACCATTCGGTTCAGTACCTTCGCTGGACGAACGAGATGCTGGAGACCATGGGGTGTGAGGTCACAAACCCCCATAAACACGCCAAGGGAAAGAGCAGACTAGGTTACCTGGAGCCTCCTGGGGCCAGCTGTTTTCACATGCTTTTTTCAATTCTCTTCCAGTCTTTAAGGTTGGGATAATTCCCTTTTTCTAGGTACGCATACCAAGACATTAGGTAGTTTGGCCAGATTACACAGCTTGTACACAGCAGTGCTAGGATTCAAATCCGCAGTTTACTTTCCATGATAAATCGTTGTTTCCCCCAGTATTGCGCGTGGCCTGCTCACTGCGGACAGTGCTCAGAAGGTAAAGGTGGCTGTAGAGTTTCTCTTTATCTAAGCAGATCCTGACCTTTGTGTGCTAATCTTTTTTTTAGCATTATTTTACACTAGCAGAGGTGAGTGGGTGCCAGGTGAAAGGGTTGCATATCAACTCTTTCTGTTTTTCAACACTTATTCAGTGTTTAGTGCATGATAAGGCAGAACAAGCACCTGCTTCGCCCACCCAAGGGGACTTGAAAGCACCCTGCTGCCTTTCGGTGGCCTGACTTAGGTCTGTGCCAATGAACAAACCACTCCATTAGCAACTGAAGAAAAACATGGAGATTCTTCTACACCCACCTTCCTTTGTCTTCTCACTTTGAAGCATTGGCCACCTCACAAAATTTTTTGCCTGAAAGGTTTGACCTCTATGTCATGCACATCAATTTTTTGAAAAAGTCTTGGGGAAAAGTGAGAAATATTTTAATAAATTATTTTACTCAGAATCACAGGCCCATTAAAGTTCTAAGATTTTGTTCACATGAAGAAGAATTTTGAAAAACCATAAGTAGCTAGGGGTGCCTGGCTGGCTCAGTGGGTAAAGCATGCCATTCTTGATCTAGGTGTTCATGAGTTCAGCCCCACATTGGGCAGAGAGTTTACTTAATAATAACAATAAAAACAAAAAAACCTAAGGAGCTAAGGGCCGGCTAATTTTTTTCTATCTAAATTATTGTTTTAAAAATTATTTTTTAAGTTCTTATTTTAAACCCAGTTGGTTAACATACAGTGCAATATTAGTTTCAGGTGTAAAATACAGTGATTCAGCAATTCCATACATCACCCGGTGCTCATCATGATCTAAATAATTATTTTTGGAAATAAAGTTCAGACTCCAAAAATGACATAGGGAGCATCTAAGAATGGGCAGGGTGGAGGTCCTTTAACTCGGTAGATTCTGAAACCTTATATGATAGAATGATTTCTTTAAAAAAATAATTTTCTGCTGTTATGATATCCTCTTTAAAAGCTTCAGGGAACAAAATTCCTGTAATTCCCTCGCATGCAAGGATTGGTGACTTACGACCTAAGGACAAGATAAAAAGTAAAAAGATTAATGCAGTCAACTTTTTTTTAATCAATAAAGAACTTACATTAGATTTGCTCTTATTGCTGACCTTGCAGAAAAGGTTTCATTTTAATCTTGAGTATTAACGGGAAGACACTTTAATGAGCTACAAATTCTTATGTGAGTCTTCATGTCCTAGGAGAATGCTTACAGAAAGATCTTATTTGTGATATGGAGAGAGTTTTGGTTAAGCTGTAAGGAAAATCATTTAAGAAAGGTAATTTTTCTGTCTAGCTGAACTGCACTTCCAGACATGGTCCGAGGAATTATGTGTCTTAAGATTGTTGGACCGATGCAAACCATGTAGATAAAGGCATAACAACTGGGTACAGGGACAAAACTTCTAGGATTTTGTAGTTTATTAAAAAGGGAGTATCCAAGAAAAGTTTTCTATAAAGCAAAATTCCATATACCAGTCCCTTGTTTCCTACCAGGTACCTTGTAAAATTGAGATTTGTGAGAGGCAACACATTATGGTGATTAAAAATATCAACTCCAGAGCCTGATGGCTTAAATATGATTAGTGCCTCTGTTCTTATGTGGGATCTTGGGCAACTTGCTACTTCCTCCTCTGAAAAATGAGGGTAATTGCTACAGATTTGAATGTTTGTGTCCCCATCCCCCGAATTCTTATGTTAAAACCTAATCCCCAAAGTGATGGTATTTGGAGGCGGGGCCTTTGGGAGAGGACTAGGGGTATGAACCAGGAAGTGGCTCTCTTTAGACATGGAATCTGCCAGCACCTTGATCTTAAGACTTTGCAGCCTCCAGAACCCCGAGAAATAAATTTCTATTGCTTTTAAGCCACCCAGTCTGTGGTATTCTGGTATAGCAGCTTGAATAGGGTAAGACAATAATAATAGTTATTGTCTTATCGGGTTGATATGAAAATTTAATCATTTAATATATGTGGAGCATTTAGAATAGTGCCTGACACATAGGAACTGCTGTGGAAGTACCTACTGTTATTATTAAAAGAAGTATTGGCTTTGAATGGGGCAAATTTTAGAGAAAAGATGAAGAGACAAATGAAGCTGTGAAGTAATGATTAGATTTTGGAAGAACAGTTTGTATTAACGAGGAGTAGAGGAACATTCCTCAAATGGGAAACCCGGATGCCTGCTCCCAGCTATGAGACCTCACTCCTCAGATCTAGAGTCTGTGGAGTTAACTTCTTCCACAGTGAGCCAGCCCTGCTACATAGCAGATCCAGACAGTGACCCTGATGGCTCTTCAGATGCTGATCTGATGATGTTGATAAACCTAAGGGTGAATCAGGCCTATGTTACTATAGGACTCATATGAGGGACACTTCACAGCTTCCCAACTGTGAAACTATTGTTTATACACACATAACTTGTTAACTCCCTGTATTATCAGCTTTGAAAGATAAAAATATTACATGTTGGTTTTCCTCATATCAGCGCGTCCTGGGTCACATAATAGGCTAGCAGTCAAGTGTGATACCGAAGTTCACAGCCCCAGTGGTTTTCTAGGTCTCTAAACTCTTTTCCCTTTCAATTAATTTCCACACCATTGCCAGAGTTGACTTAAAAGTTACTCCCTGACTAAAACCTCGTACGGTGTCTGTATCCTCCTTGTCTGTGGAATATAATATAAAGCCTTCTGCATGATATAAAAAGTTCTTCCTGTATGTGACTGAGTCTGCCTCCCCAGCCTCATTTCGGTTGACCACCTTCTGACACCCTAGGATCTAGCAGCAGTATCTTCCTGTAGTTCCCCAAAGGTGCCATGCTAACGCACACCCTTCCTGTATGTGACTGAGTCTGCCTCCCCAGCCTCATTTCGGTTGACCACCTTCTGACACCCTAGGATCTAGCAGCAGTATCTTCCTGTAGTTCCCCAAAGGTGCCATGCTAACGCACACCCTTGAAGACGTCGTCCTGTCAGCATGGAATGCCTTTCTCCCTTTCTCTTCCTGTGAAACTTCTATTCCAGCTCCGTCTACAAGTAGTTCCCCCTTTATCCGTGGTTTTGCTTACCCTGGTTTCAGTATCCCGGTTAACCACAGTCCAGAAGCAGATGATCCTCCTTCCGACCCGTGGCTGGGAAGGTCAGTCGCAGCCTGTCGCTGTCTCAAGCCCGCGTCACTCACCTCACTTCATCTTTTTATGCAGGCATTTTACCGTCTCACATCTTCACAAGAAGCAAGGTGAGTACAGTACAAGGTGAGTACAATACTTTGAGAGAGAGAGACTACATTTACATAGCTTATTACAGTACGTTTTTATAATTGTTCTATTTTATTATAGTTATTGTTGTTACTCTCTTACAGTACCTAATTTATAAATTAGGCTTTATTATAGGTGTGTACGTATAGGAAAAAACATTATTTCGCAATGCTCGAGGATCCGGCATGGCCCCTGGTTTTCAGACACCCACTGGGGTCTTATAAGTATCCTCTGTGGAGCAGGGACTACTGTACTTGCATTTCGGTGAAATGCTGGTCTCCTCCTCCAAAACGCTGACCACTTCTTTTCCTGTATCACCATTGTACCTGGCAATACCCCTTTCTAATTGTGCTAATTGCACTATGA